TAAGTGCTTTCATGAATATAAATGTGTTTCGTTTAAAATAAAATATGAATTTTTCAAATATGAAATGAAAGGACGCGTCGATTGCCATTAAGTTTCACGTGGAAAGAGAGAGAGAGAGAGAGAGAGAGAGAGTACTCACGACTCCAATACTGAAGTAGTTGTTGAATATATTACTAGGGATGGGATCTCCCTTTTCCTTTTCATTGTCAGAGCTGCTGATCTCGATCTTCCAGCGATCCATCATAACAATACTCGATTCCTCCACTTTCTTCAGTATCTTATTGAGACTCTCTTTATCATATCCCGGACCCCATCGCAGACAACGCGCCAAATCATTGCCGGTTCCCAACGGAAGGATAGCAATTGGCGGCAATTTCGCGAAATTCATTTTATCTAAAAATCATAAATGAAATTATATGTGAAATTAATGTCTTCTTTGATTTATCGCTTTCTGTCAAAAATAACAGATTTGACGCTAAAAATAGATTGAAAAAAATTGCGAACCAATTGTATCCAAAATCCATCCGACAGTTCCGTCTCCACCGCAACACAACACACGAAAATTGGACGCATCCTTATAGAAGTGTAAGCCCTGTGTCGGCCCTCCTTTCGCGATGTCATACACTTGTCGTGGATTTAGTAAATATTGGAATTTACGAAGAATTCTGTCCATTATTCAACAAATATTATACAATAATTGTCTTAAACATCAATAATATGCACAAAACTTTATTAATAAATTATTGAGCGCAGAGTGAATAGACTTTTATATGAATTGATATATACCTTAATCCCTGTCGTCCGCCGCTCTTAGGGTTAATCATAACGAGTAACGGGTGTTGAGTACAGATTGGAGTTATTTGGAATGATATGGGGCTCACCTAATATTTAGTATCATGTTTAATTTATATACTGTACAATATTATTTGGTCACAACTATTACAGTTACAATTCTCTACTGTATATATGATATAATAGCGAATTCCGCAAAACTCACCCCCTGTTGAGTATTATCTCCAAACATATTTGAATCACTTCTGGTCAACGGCTTCTTCTGTCCCCTATCGCTGGTCACACTTCTCTGCCTTTCCTATCATTTTCATGAATTAAACCAAAAAATGCATTTTATAAGCAAAAAATGTATGTCAATCCCAATGTGTATGTGAATCATGTTTTAGAAATTTTTAAAATTCTAATTTTAATTGTTTTTTATGCTCAATGAAATGGTTAACATTATCTGTTATTTTAATACTATACTAGTACAATCCCCCAATTAGTGGGGGTGGGGCTATATAATGTATGAACAAAAACAATAAATGTTATTTTTAATTTTTAATAGATATATTGATGAGTCATCAATTTGACCATGAATTTGTTATTTTAAACAATGTTATTTTAAGTGGTAATATTTTTAATATATTAGTTAGATTATTTTAAATAGAAATTTTGTTAAAAGACTTGCATGAAATTTAAGTTTAAATATGCGTCAACATATGATATGGTTTAATGAAAATATATTTAATTTACTGATACAAGTAGTTGTGGATAAAATTTTGCAAAAAGGTAAATATTTGTATCAATATTTACTAAATTTACTTATAAATTAGTAATAAAATAAAATTGTATCAAAAAATAGCATTTGGAAAATAAAACATAAATAAGATTTAGGCTAAAGTGGAAGATGTCATAAGGATTTTGCTTTTGTTTCAAATACAACTTGAAGTCTCTTTAAATCCCATTCGGATTTGAGATGAATTTGTGAAGAATTGGTGGAAATTATAACATTGTTTGCATTCAAATCAATC